AATAATGAGTAGGTTCCAATATAATGTGTTCACTGGTGGTGGTGGTGGTGGGGGGGGGAGTGTAAGTAATAATGAGTAGGTTCCAATATAATGTGTTCATTGGTGGTGGTGGTGGTGGGGGGGTGAGTGTAAGCAATAATGAGTTAGGTTCCAATATAATGTGTTCACTGGTGGTGGTGGTGGGGGGGGGGAAAGTATAAGTAATAATGAGTAGGTTCCAATATATGAACCTTGAGTACTTGTGAAACAATGCATGTAGAAGCAGTCTGTAGGTTGTGTTAAGTTTATTAATGTCCTGATGCATGTACTTATTCAGACGATAGTGTAGTGAATGTTTATTGTTAATCACTAGTGTCACTCTTACATATTAATATAAATATCTATATATATTTTGTACATGAAGTTTTAAATAAAATTAAAAAGGAAAAAAGCAAGTAATAAAGTGGTACGCGATATATTATTACAGAACTTATTTTAACCAGGCCTTTTATTTTTGTATATAATGGAGTGTGAAGGAGGGGCGCCTAACAGTTGTGTATGTGTTGTGGAGAAATTTTCTCCTGGAGGGGGGTATCAGCCCCCTTCAGCCCCTTTCAGCCCTTTCAGCCCTGAGGGGCCCAGCCCTCTCAGAAGGGACAAATATCTTGTTTACTGCTACAGCGAGTAATTGATCCCAGATGCAGTGCGAGTATGCGACGTGGTCAAGTGACCGCTGCTCCTTGCAGTCCAGTGTTGCAGAGTGTATTTTAATAAGAGACAGTACATCTCTTACTTTTGCAGGACAATTAAGGAAAATCCTGCTCACACTTTATTACCATAGTAAAGATAGTGGATATTGTTGTCTATGCTTAAGACAGCAAGATTTAAACATTCTGCTTTGCTTCATGGAGGAAGTGGCAAGGAAGCAAAAGTACTATGTCAGCTTTTCCTTTGTGCTAGGGGAGTAACGGCGTGGGCAGCTGTGGCGTCTTCAGATTACTTTTGACTCTACTGAGAGTGACACTGACGCCAGGATAACCAACAAAGAACGATCTGTGCATTAGTGTGAACAAAGTATCTCATAAAACACAATAAACACTTAAGAGAAGTGTGATCAGCTTCTTTAGTGATAAGATTGTGACAATAAGACAAATCTTGTGGAACATAGTGTACCAGTGTGCGTATTCCTAGACTATGGAAGACGTGGACATCCAAGGACACTTCAGCTTCTATCAGGTCACCGATATCTGTCGAAGGTGTGAAGAACACCATAGCTCACGCTACAAGAGCAAGGTAGGTTACGAATTTCTTGTAGTACGGGGCACTGCGCAGTTCTTGAGTCACAAGGAGTTTGTAATCAACCTATAGTCGGCAGTAAGGTGTGGACTTTTGAGTCCAAACAAGTATGTAATTTGTCAACCATCAGTGAATGAAATATGCTGACATAACACCCCCTAGGGGTAATTTATAATCTTACAAATTATAACTCTTTACAGCCCGTTGAGAGATGACTTTGACAGCTTCTCAAGACCTCGTCTGCAGGGGCGGCTGTGCAGGCGATGAGTTGTCTTTCTAAGTTACATACAAACTCTTTAAACTTAGCTGGTAATGCCATTTCTCAACAGAGTCTCTCGGAGTTGCCTGCAGCGTCTCTCGTGGGGTTGCCTGTAGCATCTCTCGTGGGTTTTCCTGCAGCGTCTCTCGTGGGGTTGTCTGCAGCATTTCTCGTGGGGTTGCCTCCATTTTTCTCGTCGGGTTGCTTGCAGCATCTCCCTTGAGGTTGCCTGCAGTGTCTCTCGTGGGGTTGCCTCCATTATTTCTCGTGGGGTTGCAATCTCTCGTGGGGTTGCCTGCAGCGCCTCTCGTGGGGTTGCCTGCAGCGTCTCTCGTGGGGTTGCCTGCAGCATTTCTCGTGGGGTTGCCTGCAGCATCTCTCGTGGGGCTGCCTGCAGCATCTCTCATGGGGTTTCCTGCAGCGCCTCTCGATTGGTTGCCTGCAGTGTTTCTCGTGGGGTTGCCTGCAGTATTTACGTGTGGTTGCCTGGAGCATTTCTCGTGGGGTTGCAATCTCTCGTGGGGTTGCCTGCAGCGTCTCTCGTGGGGTTGCCTGCAGCGTGTCACGTGGGGTTGCATGCAGTTTCTCCCGTGGGGTTGCCTGCAGCATCTCTCGTGGGGCTGCCTACAGCATCTCTCATGGGGTTTCCTGCAGCGCCTCTCGATTGGTTGCCTGCAGCGTTTCTCGTGGGGTTGCCTGCAGCATTTCTCGTGGGGTTGCCTGCAGCATTTCTCGTGGGGTTGCCTGCAGCTTCTCTCGTGGGGTTGCCTGCAGCGTCTCTATTGGGGTTGCCTGCAGCATTTCTCGTGGGGTTGACTGCAGCATCTCTCGTGGGGTTGACTGCAGCATCTCTCGTGGAGTTGACTGCAGCGTTTCTCGAGGGGATGCCTGCAGCATTTCTTGTGGGGTTGACTGCAGCATCTCTCGTGGGGTTGATTGCAGCATGTCTCGAGGGGATACCTGCAGCATTTCTCGTGAAGTTGCCTGTAGAGTCTCTCGGAGTTGCCTGCAGCGTCTCTCGTGGGGTTGCCTGTAGCATCTCTCGTGGGTTTTCCTGCAGCGTCTCTCGTGGGGTTGTCTGCAGCATTTCTCGTGGGGTTGCCTCCAGCATTTCTCGTCGGGTTGCTTGCAGCATCTCCCTTGAGGTTGCCTGCAGCGTCTCTCGTGGGGTTGCCTCCATTATTTCTCGTGGGGTTGCAATCTCTCGTGGGGTTGCCTCCATTATTTCTCGTGGGATTGCAATCTCTCGTGGGGTTGCCTGCAGCGTCTCTCGTGGAGTTGCATGCAGTTTCTCCCGTGGGGTTGCCTGCAGCATCTCTCGTGGGGCTGCCTGCAGCATCTCTCATGGGGTTTCCTGCAGCGCCTCTCGATTGGTTGCCTGCAGCGTTTCTCGTGGGGTTGCCTGCAGCATTTCTCGTGGGGTTGCCTGGAGCATCTTCTCGTGGGGTTGCCTGCAGCTTCTCTCGTGGGGTTGCCTGCAGCATTTCTCGTGGGGTTGACTGCAGCATCTCTCGTGGGGTTGACTGCAGCATCTCTCGAGGGGATGCCTGCAGCATTTCTCGTGGGGTTGCCTGCAGCATTTCTCGTGGGGTTGACTGCAATCATCTCTCGTGGAGTTGACTGCAGCGTTTCTCGAGGGGATGCCTGCAGCATTTCTTGTGGGGTTGACTGCAGTATCTCTCGTGGGGTTGACTGCAGCATCTCTTGAGGGGATGTCTGCAGCATTTCTCGTGGGGTTGCCTGCAACATTTCTCGTGGGGTTGACTGCAGCGTCCCTCTCGTGGGGTTGACTGCGTATCTCTCGAGGGGATGCCTGCGCATCTCTGGAGGGGATGCCTGCAGCATTTCTCGTGGGGTTGCCTGCAGCATTTCTCGTGGGGTTGACTGCAGCATCTCTCGTGGGGTTGACTGCAGCATCTCTCGAGGGGATGCCTGCAGCATTTCTCGAGGGGATGCCTGCAGCATTTCTCGTGGGGTTGCCTGCAGCATTTCTCGTGGGGTTGACTGCAGCATCTCTCGTGGGGTTGACTGCAGCATCTCTCGAGGGGATGCCTGCAGCATCTCTCGAGGGGATGCCTGCAGCATCTCTCGAGGGGATGCCTGCAGCATTTCTCGAGGGGATGCCTGCAGCATTTCTCGTGGGATTGCTTGCAGCGTCTCTCGGAGTTGCATGCAGCATCTCTCGAGGAGATGCCTGCAGCATTTCTCGAGGGGATGCCTGCAGCATTTCTCGTGGGATTGCTTGCAGCGTCTCTCGGAGTTGCCTGCTGGAACCTACACACTTAAACTCCCCATCGGTTAAGAAGGAATTTACTTTGGCGGTGCGAGCTGCTAAAATATAAATGATTACAAACTGCAACGCTCTATAGTGTAGTGAGTTAGAGTAACATAGTATAGAGCCTATTATGTCTTAGTCTAAGTCACATAAGGCTACTGTGAGTAGCAAGTTCAACAACACAAGAGCCTTAAGTCTACTACCAAGTTTCCGGTAGAGTTTTGTCTCTAAACATTTATCACTGTGATAATATTCTCAGTCACTGCTGTTAGAGAGGCGAGTTCTGAAGAATTCAGTATGTTCCAGCGGGTCATGTATATATATCAGGCAGTAGTCGTCCATGCTAGCCTTGCTTGCTCTTCCTGTTTACTCTACAACATTATGTCTGGTACCTTGTCTATACCTTCATTATTGTCGAGTAAATACAGTCTACCATTTACTTCACTACATTTCCATCACTACCATAAATTAAGGAGATTCATGAAACAAGATTTACTGTATCTTGATCCATGAAGATATCTTTTGTGTAATTGTTTCTGAGGCTTCAAAAATCCTGTGTATTACTAGCTATTTTAATACACCTAAGTCAATATTCAGAATTCTGTAGTATTGGTCTCCCTAACTAGACATTTTGTTATTTACACGGGGAAGCGCTAAACCCTTCAGTCATACAGCGACTGAGAAATGGGAAGCAATCAAATTTGATACAAAGACGAGAGATTTATTTCTATGTATTAAGATCATTTAACCAGCATTAAGTCACCTGTCTTCAATATTGAAGACTCCCTCTACGTCACTCTTGTGTGTTTATATTAATACACTGATCTGAAATGTTACCTTAATTGATAATAATCTCAAGGGTCTGACAGCACTTGTAATAATCTCAAGGGTCTGACAGCACTTGTAATAATCTCAAGGGTCTGACAGCACTTGTAATAATCTCAAGGAAATAAAAAAAACTGACAGCACTTGTAATAATCTCAAGGGTCTGACAGCACTTGTAATAATCTCAAGGGTCTGACAGCACTTGTAATAATCTCAAGGGTCTGACAGCACTTGTAATAATCTCAAGGGTCTGACAGCACTTGTAATAATCTCAAGGGTCTGACAGCACTTGTAATATTCTCAAGGGTTTGACAGCACTTGTAATAATCTCAAGGGTCTCACAGTATGTGTTATTCGTCAGTAGTGGAGCAGGTGTCTCCTGGGTGGAGAACACGCATCACCTCTACCAGCTTTATCTTCTGGACGGCAGGCATGTGCCTCCTGCCGCTGATAGCATGGCTCACCAAAGACTGGTTTCTCCTCGGTGTCATCACCACAGTTCCTTTCTTCCTGCTCATCCTCTGCTGGTGGTAAGTGCAGTTACTGTGTGAGCATGGAACACTCACCGTTTTTAACAGGAGCTCCACTTACTGTAATTAAAATAAGGGTCTCCTTTGGCTTGTTAGTATTTTCTTTAAATTATCAGGCTTCCTTCATTAGTTATAATACAGTTGGTAGAATTACCGACAATATGTAAAGTAAAAGGACACAAGTGCGTAATTCTCCACGCAACAACACCACTCCTAACAAAGTTATAATTCTTCCCAACATCCAGGTTGCACTGAATGTTTTTAAAGTACTTTCACAGGCTAACACCAGAGTCGCTATCGCTTCTAGCACTTCAATAAAGGATCTAACCAGAACAAAATCCAAGCACAATGAACCAGTCAACGCAGGAGTTTACACTATACCCTGTGGAGGCTGCGACAAGATTTATGTAGGTGAAACAGCAAGAAACCTCGACACCGCCTCAGTGAACACATTTACGCATGTAGGAACGATAACTTGAACAACGCCTGCGTACAACACCGAAATTCCACCAGTCATCTCATGAAGTTCAGGGGCGCCCAATTAGTGATCAAAGAAACTAATTTCCGCAGACGCAAGTGCCTTGAATCTTCACTAATAGCTGTTTCTAATACAATGAAACAAAACAAAGGCAGAAACACCATCTGTGAAGTCTTAGCAAGAATCCTCCTGAAAACAGTAAATCCTGCCATCACATAGTCTCTCCTGTTAATACTACACAAGCACATTACAGAGAGTGAACACTGAAACAGGCTGCCTCTATCCAGCCTCCAATAGAAATATTTGTCTAACCTATTTTTATGTTACTTAAGTTATAGCTTTTATATCCTTTTACTGTTGTGCGAGTTAATTGTCCTAACATATTGTATTACTACTACTACAACTTATATCACTACTACTACTACTACTACTACCACTAGTATTGAACCTCATTCTGAGCCTATATATACCCTCTGTGTCCATGTATTGTTTGTAACAGCTTGACAAAGCTCCTGGAGAGCGAAACGTTGCCACAATAAAAATGTCACATTAGTTGCACTTGTGTCCTTTTACTTCACTAGTTATAATTATGACCATAATTTTTTAAGAGGTGGGCTGGTAAACCAGCGGAAGGCCTCGGTCAGATACGAAAAGCGGGTCATCATCTGATCAAGACCCGCGTCAGGAAACACTTGTCCTGCTTCCTGACAAATTTTACCTAACTTAACCTACCAGGCTTCCTGAGCCACTTCTGTAACTCATTTGTTATTTTTTACATGTGTGTTCAGTTGTACGAGCCTCTCCCTGCAGATGACTGGGTATTCCAGCCACAGTATGAGCATCTTTCTCGAAGTTTCTTTGCACATGAAGGACAATGATGGTATCAAATGCTGCAAAATGTGCAAATAGATACATTTAATCACTGGGATAGTCCATATGAAAAAGGTTCGTTCACTGGTATATGTGAGACAAGGTAAGATGCAGAGCTCATGAATAGCTGCAGTCAGAGAGAAAAGTTAGGAACTGAGGTGACGTGATCGGCGTCTCTTGATGTGGTACTCCTCAAGGAAGGCTCCTTCAGAATTAACAACAATATGTTTTCATGAAAGAGTCTCGTGCAGTAGGACATTTATTAATGTTTCAACAGCTAGTTCAATATAAAGCACAGGTATATATGGTGAGTCAGTTTAAGTAATACACAAGAGAAAGGACGAAGCTAGTTGATGCGTTGTAACTAACGTACGCTTGGTAAACGGACGCCTTGCATAGTGCTTACACCGTACACCTTAACACCCATAACCATCTCATGGAATTCCAGAATAACAGGATTGTCATCCAGGAAACTGATTTATGTCACACACGATATTTAGAATCTGTTATCATCGCTACTACCAACACCTTATACACAGCATATGTCATGCTTATCCTGGAGTATGTTGGAAAAAGAGCAAAGGTTTGCAATGAAGCTAGACCTAAAGCTGAAGGCTAGAGGAGCTAAACCTGACCACACTAAAAGACAAAAGAACCAGGAGTGACATGATTACGAGGTAAATACTGAGAAGAATTGAAGGTTGGACAGAGAGTCTGAGAGACAGGTCTCAGGTACACATGGTCACGGTCACTGTTGGAAGTTATAAGACCAGATTAGTCACAGAGTTGTTAGGAAATAGTTCTTTTGCCTTAGATGGTTAGGAAGTTGAATGACCTAAAGAACCAAGTGGCAGAGGCAGAATCCATACATAGCCGGGGTAATGGAAGGCAATTAGACTCGATTCAGTGAATTGGAGCAAAGGTTCAGTTCCGTACATTAAGCGTCCCTCTTTAGTATTAAAGAAGAAACATCTCTCGGATAGACCCCTGGCTGTCTTCAAGAAGGAGCTGGACAGCCACCTAAAGCCAGTACCTGATCAGCCTGGCTGTGGTTCGTACATCGGTTTATGTGCAGCCAGCAGTAACAGCCTGGATGATCAGACCTTGATACACGACAAAGCCTGGTTTTAGACCGGGAAGCGGGGGAGTTGACCCCCGAAACACTCTCCAGGTATACTCCAGGTATACCCTTCCCTCGTTTTCCTGAAGCGTAAACCAGAATAGTGAAACGAGAACCTCAGGTTTATATACGTAAAGCAAAAATGGAATGCCTATATTTCTGTATTTTACTGTTAATTATACTGTTGTAATTCATTATTACACTGACAGGTTTCTGCCCGAGTCTCCTCGCTGGTTGCTGTCTCGTGGCCACATAGAGCAGTGTGCTGCGCTCATGACCACCATCGCTACACGTAATGGCAAACAAGTGCCAGATAGGTTGAAAGAACGTCTACAAGCCGTCTCCTTCACTCACAACACGGAAAGGAATTATGGTGTTGTCCAGCTGTTGAATTATTCCACTGTTCGTCTCCGTACTTTGCTCCTCACAGCTTGCTAGTGAGTTTATATTTTTAAATATCATAATTCATACGTAATTATTACGTTTATTGGTAAGAAATGAAACCCATATAGATCATATAGTACCTCAGTAATGGAAAGCATTTATATTGAATCGAATATATAATATATTCTTTTTTTATTAATACATGGGCCGAGTGCCACCAGAGCAGGTGGCCCCATAAAGAAAAACTTTCCTCATTCACTCCAGAGGCGTGCTTACACTACTGCAACATTAACACCCCTCATTCAGAGTGCCGGCACTGTACTTCCCATCTCTTTTCATAAATGTTAGTTTGCTCACACTTGAACAGCACGTCAAGTAATAAAAACTATTTGTCTCCTATCATATACGCTCAGGTATGCTTGCTGGAAGTCCAAGCTCCTCGCACACAAAACCTCCTTTACCCCCTCCCTCCAACATTTCCTCGGCTGACCCCTACTCCGCCTTCCCTCCACTACAGATTAATACACGCTATTTAATACATTCTATTTTGTTCCATCCTCTCTATGCGTTTAAAACTCGGCCGCTGCTTGTTGAGACTGGTACACCAAAAGGGGATAAGAATGAAATTAGCCTAGAGTCTCCCACACCACCGTAAGTCCTCGGACCAAGAGTAACACACATAGCTTGGCTGGGTGCTTGGTTCTTGTAGGCTAGTGTGGTCCTGTGGATTAAGGCATCACATGATTTTCGCTAACCACAAGGCAGGGCCAAAACGACATGGGTTCGAATCCTCGGAGAGTCGCAGTATAGTTATTGATATATATTATATATATACATATAAATATATATATATATATATATATATATATATTATATATATATATATATATACTTATATATAATAATATATATAATATATATATATATATATATATATATATATATAGTATATAGTATATATATATATATATATATATATATATATAATATATATATATATATATATATACATATATATATATATATATATATATATATATATATATATATATATATATATTATATATATATATATATATATATATATATATATATATATGTCGTGCCGAATAGGCAAAACTTGCCATTTTGGCTAAAATATCAACGCTCATCTTGCCATATAGGACAGAGAAAATTTGTGTATGCAATAATTTCGCCAAAATCATTCTGAACCTAACGCAAAAAATATATGTCACTGTGTTTGTTTAATATTAAATTATTGTAAACAAATCTAAAATATATTTAGTTGGGTTAGGCTAAATAAATTGTTTCTTGTTATAATGAGGTTAGGTAAGTTTTCTAAGATTCTTTTGGTGCAAAATTAAAAATTTTTACATTAACATTAATGAAAAAAATATATCTTTAAACGTACAAGAGAAAATTTCAGAAAGGACTTAATTTTAAATGAGTTCTTGCTAATTGACCACTTTTACATATTCGGCACGACATATATATATATATATATATATTATATATATATATATAATATATATATATAATATATATATATATAATATATATATATATATATATATATATATAATATATATATATATATAATATATATATATATATATATATATATATATATATATATATATATTATTTTTTATTATTTTTTATCACCTGGCCGATTCCCACCAAGGCAGGGTGGCCCGAAAAAGAAAAACTTTCACCATCATTCACTCCATCACTGTCTTGCCAGAAGGGTGCTTTACACTACAGTTTTTAAACTGCAACATTAACACACCTTCAGAGTGCAGGCACTGTACTTCCCATCTCCAGGACTCAAGTCCGGCCTGCCGGTTTCCCTGAACCCCTTCATAAATGTTACTTTGCTCACACTCCAACAGCACGTCAAGTATTAAAAAAATTTGTCTCCATTCACTCCTATCAAACACGTTCACACATGCCTGCTGGAAGTCCAAGCCCCTCGCACACAAAACCTCCTTTACCCCCTCCCTCCAACCTTTCCTAGGCCGACCCCTACCCCGCCTTCCTTCCACTACAGACTGATACACTCTTGAAGGCACTCTGTTTCGCTCCATTCTCTCCACATGTCCGAACCACCTCAACAACCCTTCCTCAGCCCTCTGGACAACAGTTTTGGTAATCCCACACCTCCTCTTAACTTCCAAACTACGAATTCTCTGCATTATATTCACACCACACATTGCCCTCAGACATGACATCTCCACTGCCTCCAGCCTTCTCCTCGCTGCAACATTCATCACCCATGCTTCACACCCATATAAGAGCGTTGGTAAAACTATACTCTCATACATTCCCCTCTTTGCCTCCAGGACAAAGTTCTTTGTCTCCACAGACTCCTAAGTGCACCACTCACCCTTTTCCCCTCATCAATTCTATGATTCACCTCATCTTTCATAGACCCATCCGCTGACACGTCCACTCCCAAATATCTGAATACATTCACCTCCTCCATACTCTCTCCCTCCAATCTGATATCCAATCTTTCATCACCTAATCTTTTTGTTATCCTCATAACCTTACTTTCCTGTATACACTTTTAATTTTTCTTCTTTTGCACACCCTACCAAATTCATCCACCAATCTCTGCAACTTCTCTTCACAATGTACCAAGAGCACTGTGTCATCAAGCAAAGGAGCAAACTGTGTCAACTTCCCCTTTATGTGTGATTCTTTATCTTTTAACTCCACGCCTCTTGCCAATACCCTCGCATTTTCTTCTCTTTGCAACCCCATCTATAATATATTAAACAACCACGGGACATCTCACATCCTTGTCTAAGGCTACTTTACTGGGAAATAAAATTTCCCTCTTTCCTACATACCTAACTTGAGCATCACTATCTCATAAGAAACTCTTCATGGCTTCCAGTAACCTACTTCCTACACCATAAAACCTGCTAAACATCTGCCACATTGCCCCCTATCCACACTGTCATACGCTTTTCAAATCCCATAAATGCACAAAGACTCTTTAGCCTTATCTAAATACTGTTTCACTATATGTTTCACTGAAACACCTGGTCCACACCACCCCTACCTTTCCTAAAGCTCTTGTTCTCATTGCTATCTATTCTCCGTCTTACTCTTAATTCTTTCAATAATAACTCTACATACATTTTACCAGGATACTCAACCCTGACTTAATCCCCCTATAATTTTGCACTCTCTTTTGTCCCCTTTGCCTTTATACAAAAGGACTATGCATGCCTCTCTTGCCAATCCTAGGTACCTTTCCCTCTTCCATACATTTATTAAATAATTGAACCAACCACTCCAGACTATATCCCACCTGCTTTTAACATTCTATCTTATCCCATCAGTTCCAGCTGCCTTACCCCCCTTTCATTTTACTACTGCCTCACGAACTTCTCCCACACTCACAACTGGCTCTTCCTCACTCCTACAGATATTATTCTTCCTTGCCTATTCACGAATCACAGCTTCCCTATCTTCATCAACATTTAACAATTCTCAAAATATTCCTCCATCTTCCAATACCTCTACTCTCCATTTAATAACTCTCCTCTCCTATTTTTAACTGACAAACCCATTTGATGATTCTCTAGGCTTCCTAACTTGTTAATTTCACTCCAAAAATCTTTGTCTTTATTTTCACAAAATTTGTTGATAACATTTCACCCACTCTATCATTTGCTCTCTTTTACATTGCTTCCACCACTCTCTTAACCTTCTCTCTTCCTCTCCATATACTCTTCCCTCCTTGCATCACTTCTACTTTGTGAAACTTCTCATTATGTATCTTTTTCTCCCTTATACTCTCTTTAACATCATCATTCTCACCAATCGCTCTTTCCCCCCGCACCCACCTTTCTGTAACCACAAAACTTTGCCTGAAAACTCTAACCTAATTTTTAAACCTACCCATACCTCTTCGACCCATTGCCTATGCTCTCATTAGCCCATCTATCTCCAGTAGCTGTTTATATTCTTACCCTAACTGGCCTCCTCTTTTAGTTATAAACTTCAACTCCTCTTCCTGATGCTTCTGTTCTCTTGTATCCACATCTACCTTTTACTCTCAGTGTAGCTACAACTAGAAGTGATCTGATAAATCTGTGGCCCCTCTATAAACAGGTACATCTGAGTCTACTCAACAGTCTTTTACTACAATCATAATCAACAAACTACTGTCATTTCGCCCTACATCATATCTTGTATTACTTATTTTATTCTCTTTTTCTTAAAATATGTTGACTATAACTAAACCCCTTTTCTATTACAAAGTTCAATCAAGGGCTCCCATTATCCCATTTACACTGGGCACCCCAAACTTACCTACCACCCCTCTCTAAAAGTTTCTCCTACTTTAGCTTTCAGATCCCATACCACAATGGACTCTCTCCTTGGTTCAAAGGCTCCTATACATTCACTAACATCTCCCAAAATCCCTCCTCTCTCTACATTCCTCTCTTTTCCAGGTGCATACACGCTTATTTGACCCACTTTTCGCATCCAACCTTTACTTTAATCCCATAATTCTGAATTTACGCATTCATATTCTCTTTTCACCTTCCATAACTGATCCTTCAAACATTTACTGTACCCCTGCCTTAGCTCTAACTCTCTCAGTACTCCAGATTTAATCCATTTATTTCCCCCCACCGAAACTCCCTACCCCCTTCAGGCTTTGTTTCGCTTAGGGCCAGGACATCAACATTATTTTCATTCATAACATCAGCAATCATCTGTTTTTGTCCATCCGCACTACTTCCACGCACATTCAAGCATCCCAGTTTTATAAGGTTTTCTTCTTCTCTTTTTAGTAAATGTTCTACAGGAGAAGGTTACTAGGCATTGCTCCCGGCATTTTAGTTCGCCTCATACGACACGCATGGCTTACGGAGGAAAGATTCTTTTCCACTTCCCCATGGACATAGAAGAAATAAGGAAGAAACAAAGAGCTATTTAGAAAAAAGGGGAGAAAAACTGTGTATGTATATATCATTGCATGTGCATGCTGTGAAGTGTGACAAAGTGTAGTAGGAGTAGCAAGATATCC